TCGAATATTTTGAGGATGCAAGTGGGCAACTTGCACAACTTGTCCACTTGGCTACTTGCAAGATATTATCAAGATGCAAGCTAAGATCGAGTTGGCAAGGATAATATCAAGATGCAAGCTAAGCACGAGTTGTATCCACTTGCAAGGAAAATGGTAGAGAATGTCCACTTGACGACAACTATCCGTGAGTTGTAAAGTGGAAGGCAACTTTTCAAAGGAGGTTTAAATCAACTTGCATCCAATAAGGGCCCTTGGATTAAATAAATCGTGGCCATTGATTTAAAAGCAACTTGTAAGATTTTTGCCTATAAATAGAGATGGAAGTCTCATTTGTAAATCATGTAGAGTGAAGTGAGTTTATTAATTAGAGAGATTGTAAAGTTTTTCCTTTCATTTATATAAAGAAAGTTTTCCCAACCTTACTTATTTTCCATATATTCCTTACTTCAGAATTCTCTTCTCAAGGTGATTATAATTTAGCCTCGTTGGTTAAATTATTTGTGAGCATGGAAATGCTGATTTAATGTTTTCTTGCGAAGGACGGGAATTGTCGAACGTTAAGGCCGCACGGTTCTAATTGTTCAGGTGTAACGAAACTAGGTCCGTGACATTATGCTTCAAATTAAAAGTGAATAGCAAGCATTTCACAATAGCAGTGTAAGTATTTTGAATAGTAAGTTTAGATTTGAAAATTAGAAGTTCAATTGTTTTCTTCTAAAATTGCAGTGGGCAAAGTTGAGAAGTCTTTCAGTCCTTGCGATGGGTGTGGTAGCATGGACTGGACCTCCTCTAAGAAACTCTTTAGTGCATCTCAAGACGATCGATGTATTAGATCTGATCAGCCAGGATATTCTAAATCCAGTTTGGAAACTACAACATAGCTTCTGATCCTTGGTTGCTGAAGATGAGAGTTGATTCCTCCACGTCCGGGTCATGCAGCGGGACATCAGGGAATTCAATCAATGGTGTAGCCTTGAGAAATAATGGTTCAGAATTAAAAATTGCTATTGGCAAGAGAAATAAAGTTTCTGAAGGTGCCAATCTTAATTTTGTCGAGGACAGTCAGGATCCTTTCGCTTTTCATGATGAATTTGATGAACCCTCGAAGTGGGACTTATTATCTGGAAGGAGAAAGAAATCTCGAACTGAAAATATGGGGACAACAGCGAGTGACCATGAAGAAAAGTGTCACTCTCGACTGATGTCGAACCAACAAGAAACAGACATCTTGGAAAATCATTGTTCTCAGGAGGCCTCTTGTTCATCCACAACTGATGAAAACAACTCCAATCTTCTGGCAGATTGTCTTCTTACAGCTGTCAAAGTAATTTAAAATTTCAATTTGTGACTTTAATGCAATGAGTTTTCCTCGAGTTTCCCATGGAAGACTAAGGATTAAGAGTTTTTATTTGCTCTTTCTAGAGATATCCTATATTGTATTTGGGAGTTATTTCATGCTGTGCATTATAAGGTTATTATATATCCATCGAGTTCAACTGAAACAGTGAGCCCTTTTCCCTTTTTTTAATTCTTCAACAGTGTACATTCTTTTCATTTGTTTTCTTAGCTTAAAAAGGAAATTTATGTTCTTTTGCTTAATTTTTCTGGACACTGTTTTGTCTGGAAAATTGTTTTATGTGTTTGTGCATGTTTTCACGTGTTCATGCATCAGCATTCTTGAAATTACTGAGTTTCTTTATTATTAATTTGCAGGTTCTGATGAACTTGACCAATGACAATCTTGAGTTTCACGGGGTGCCTTTCTTCTTGGCACAGAAAGGGACACCGTGCGGCAGTAGTCTGCTCCGTTAGACTACCTTCCGTCTTTTCTCGGTCGCGTCGGGACAAAAATAAAATTTGATTACAATTTTGTAGAAAGCTTACAATAGAGAATTTGAATACATTGAAAGTAAATTAAACATTGATTGATGAAAGCTGAACATTACAATTGATGAAAGCAGAAAATTACAATTGCTGGTGCAGGGGGCGGACACCAGTGAGCTTGAAAGATTTTTTAATGACTAATACTCCCTATAATAGTATTCTGAACAAAAACCTAAGTGACAGGAGTAGACGTTTAAAAGACGAGGAATCATACTAAATGTTTACCAATATCAGAGCTATTTTACAATTGAAATAACTGTTGTAATGAAAAGAAAATTACAACTCAAACTTGAAATAATATTTACAATGTACGGCTGAAGTTGGGCAAACTACGGCTGCGATAGTGTCAAGGGGCTAAGTTAAGCTGTGGTCCTTGACACTGAGGGTTGTTGGCAAATTGCTGCCTGTGGGGGTCCGGAGACACTGTCTTCTCCGATTGCTGGTCACTTTCCATCATTAGCTTATCGTCATTTCCCTATTTTAGGGAGAATAGTTTCTCATCTAAATCCATTGTGGAGACTAACCAAGAGAATTACCCACATCTCATTGATCACGAGCTAGACTTTCTTGTTGCTATTTTGGGCTTGCTTGTGAATTTGGTGGAGAAGGATTGTCGCAACAGGTAAATTGTTCCCTGTTTCTCTTCATCCTTTCTTTGTTAGTTTGGACTTTGGAGGAATGGATGACTATAATTTCATTGTTTTACTGATGATATTTTCTATCCAAAGGAGACCTTGATGTATCTTCCTTACATTTGGACATACATAAACAGAATTTGACTGAGATGAGAATGTTAAGATCGGTTTCTGGTAAAACGAGAAGGTAAATAGAAATTTGCATATATTTGTGAATTGGTTAATGTAGCACCTATGAAAGATAAGTTATAGGATCAGTTTAGATGGGTTTGGACACCTCCAAAGTGAAGGATATGCTAGATGCACCAGGTATGAGAAGTGATGGGATTATTATTAATGTAAGCTCAGTGGAATTGGTCATTCAAAGATTGCATGGTGAGTTTTTTAGAACTTTGCAGGTCACCAAAATTTGCACAATATGAGTTTAAGAAGGATTTAAACCTTCGCAGTTTAACTTGGCAAATAACCTTTGATGGAGTGGGATGGAAGATCCATATGGTGAAAGAAACTGGCATGGGAAAGCCTGACATTTGTGTACCACATTATTGTTGTTCCTATTTGGCTTTGTTCGCCTTGATGGTGTGAATTGAATAAGATCTAGGTAATCAGAAGGAAATTGTTACCAGCAACCACCATTTAGAATTTCCATGACATGAGGGTGCAAGATGAGAACTTCAATGCATTATATTTGCACATTATTTGCATTCATGTATGGAGGACATATCTCAGCCTGTGGGAACTGGTTAACTGACTACACACCTTCAAAATTTTCCCATATTCTACACTTCTACTCAATAATTATTGTCATCATAAGGGAAAAAAGTAAGTCTATATAATAATGTCTCTAGTTATCTGATTATGTAAAATCTCTAAAGAATGAGCATAATTCAAAGTGATGATTTTTGTTGGCTGTAAATTATTTTGGCTGTCGGCAAAGTTTTACGAACTGAAGATCATAGTAAATCCGTTTGCATTTTTTTCACCCACTTTGAATTGGTTCTGACACTTGCTGGACAACCTTGGCTTATGGTAACTCAATTTTTCTGTTACAGGTTAGAAAATAATTAGTGTCTTTGTCATATCTATCATTGCAGATCATGGCTTGCAACATGTAGTGTTTCATTACCGAGCTTTGAAGGGATGGAAGAACGTAAGGATGTAATTCCTTTATTATGCTCTATCTTTTTGGCTAATCAAGGGGCTGGTGAGGCTACTGGAGAAGGAAAATATATGTCCTAGGTGAGTGAACTGGTGTCTATTTATTATGTATTATTTCCATCCATTGATTCATCTTTTCCATGTTGAAAGCATAGCTTTAGTTGCATGGTAATTTGAGCCAAGGGAGTTCATGGAATTTTTTTAAGGTTTTGTCGCCTTTATCCCTAGAAATGATGATAAATAATTATCTTCTCATTTGAGGGAGTTAATTTTTTCTTTTAAAATCTTAAAGGAGAATCACATCATTGTACTCTTACCTATTGCCCAAGTAGTAAGTTGGTCTCCTATTTTAATAGGGAGTAAGTTGGTCCTCAAATTATAGTTGTACGGTCAGTCCCAATTTTGGAAACTGTTCGTAAATCTGTGTGTTTGTGCAGCTATAATGAAAGGTTGGGGACCGACAAGTTTGTTTTTGAAGATTAGGGAAGCACTCTCTCCTAGATGAATAGGTGGGGACCCCTGGTGCAATTTTCCTTTTTAGTAATATAGAGATGAATAATTTGTTTCTACAAGTTTTTGAAAGCCATTATCTGATGCCAATAGAATTCAGATGATTTTTATTTTTGAAAAATGATGTGAACATCATTACCATCTATAAATATGGAGGGAAAACAATGTATTTATGGCTGAATTCTATGTGCAAATGTGATTATGCAGGATGATGAAGATTCCATATTACAGGGAGAGAGGCTGAAAAAATGATTGTAGAAGCTTATGCGGCTCTTCTTCTTGCATTCCTTTCTACTGAAAGGTTAGTACACCTTCATCGGCTTATCCTTTCCCTACATAAATTTTGACTACCGATCTCGTAAATCATTTTTTTTTATTCCTTTTTATTACCAGAAAGGGCATACGTAATGCCATTGCTGAATATCTTCCAGACCACAACCTGGCAATACTCGTTCCGGTGTTTGAAAGATTTGTGGTACGTATTTCTTATGCAACTAGACTCGTGTAGTATGAACTTGGTCGGATAAACGTCATTAATATCCTCGTGTTTTTGTTCTTTGAGGAATTTCACATGACACTGAACATGATATCACCAGAGACACACAAAACTGTGCTGGAAGTAATTGAATCATGCAGAATCCGATGAGAGATCGAATATCGCTGTATATGACGCTGAAAAAAGTGATTGTTTGTAGAGGGGGCATTATCAAACCAGCCACCAGAGCCCTCGATCGTTGCTCGATACCTGTCCTTTTTGCTCATGTATTTCCAGCTGCAATGCACCGTTCAAGTTGGAGGCTAAGATGATTGTGTAGGTAAAATAGAGTACTTATATGTAATTCAATAATTTCGATTGTGGTTTCTCGTTCATGTTATCCGTCTCAGAAGTTTAGATACAAAAGCTTAAACAAGATACATCGTAATCCCAATATGTCTCATTCAAACTCGAAATATTTTCTCCTTTATTTAGTAGAATGTTTACATAAGCAGAGAGGGCTACTGGAGAAATGATCAACTATGACCTGTGAGGAAGTTGAGGATAAGCTCATTCACATGGTCGGGGAATTGCTCTTGAACAAAATGAGTTCCTTCTGGTATGTAGATTATGTCCAATTTGGGGACAAATTTTTTCACCTCTCCGTTCCTTGTGTAGTCCTCTATTCCTGGGAACTTGAAAACATAATCCTTCTCGCCCATTATTAGGAGAGCTGGAACTTCAACTTTCGGAATTGGTATATTAAGTTCATTCTTGCGATCAAGAAACGCCCTAAGACAGAACGAAATCAGCATGTAAATGTGTCCACTGAGAGGTCAATCAGAAAAGCAATCTCCCACAAATAATTTTGACTGAAGTAAATTATTTGGTTCAAGTAACTCATAGCTTTCATGCTTAGCCAACCGTGATCTTTCTTGAAACAATTTTCGCAAACTCGTTCTTCATTTTTACTCAATCTTCTTATTTTGAATCATCATGTGTCCATTCGAATAAGCCACAGTTATATATTATCATAAGAATGACGCAAGCGCACAATATTTTTTATGTAGAAAACCTTCATGTTACCTGTAAGGAACTTGCAATGCAGTTTGAAATCCCGATTTCTGGTACAGGGCTCCATAGGTTGCAAGATCTTCCTCAGAGAACCAAGAGGGTAGAGGAGTAGATGGCTCTACTATGTCCATGATCTCCTGGTTTTCTTGAGCTATTGGAATTTCACTTCTGGAGAACATTATGTAAATATTCCTCACTACTGTTTTAGCATCAAGTCGACCAAAATCAGCTTCAGCGCGTCCAGGCTCCTGCAACAAAAATTTGTCGACAGTTACGGAAGGAGCCAAATCAGGCTATCCCGAAAAGGAGGTGGAGAAAAAAGGGAGGACCTGCCATCTTGAAATATAGAAGCCTTCAGGGAGGAGCTTATGATGGGTGGGAAGACGAGGAGGCCTAAATGGCACGCCTAATGTGACGAAACCTGACACTCTCTCCTGATGGAGGAGGACAAAGATGGAAACAACCGCACTACCAAAATCTTTGCTTACCAGAAAAACCTGCGAATTAATTTTTTTCTTGAAATTAACTCTTACGAGCATACTTATTACTTTTTCTTATAAGTGAATTACCTTAAAATTAAACATTTTTTTTCGTTTAGCCAAATATAATTTCCTCTCTATAAATCGACAAAACCCCCCAATTTTCAAGGTAACCAACCAGAATTTCAACTGAAAAATAAGAGTAAAAAACATAATTATCACCAAAGGATCACATGCCTTGGAGATGTTAAGAGCATCAAGAATTGCAAGGAGGTCAGATATCAGATCCAAGAAGGTGGTCTTCTCGGGTTGAGGTGGCGGGTCGGACAAGCCGTAGCCTCTGTAATCGGGTGCCATTGCTCTGAAACCGGCTTTAGCGACTGCAATCATCTGGTGGCGCCAAGAGTACCATATTTCTGGAAATCCGTGCAGAAACACCACTACCGGCGACGATTCACTTCCGATTTCGGCAACGTGAAGCTTTAGCCCGTTCGCTTGGACGTACTTGTGCTCAATTTCGTCCATTTTCGACGATCCCGAAGAAGAAGCTAGGCTAAACTGAGTTAATAATTAGAGGTGGATATTTTATGCTTTCAATAAATGCCGAGTTAATTGTTTGAATGGTCACTGAATTTAGGACCTGTTTGGGAGGGATTTTGAGAATTGATTTTTTGATCGTTAGAAAAAAAGTAGGGTCCGTTTGTGAGAAAAAAAGTCAAAAATTACGATTGAAATAGTAAAATAACGGTCAAAAAATCAATTTTTTTGGGTAAAAAATTCCTCTCAAACAAGCTGTTAGTTTTATGTCTTTGATTGACTCTAAATTTAAAAATGTCGAATTTTGGTCATTGAACTTTAAAAAATATCAGGTTTTGGTCACTGAATTTAGGTCAATATTTTCGATTGCTCGCTGAACTTAAATCCATATTTTAGATTGCTCACTGAAATTTAAAATGTTGAGTTTTGACTACTGAATTTTGAAATATGCCGTACATTGCTCACTATAATAACTGTTGAATTTTGAAAAATATCGAATTTACAACGAATAATGTACAACATTTTTCAAAGCTCACTGAGTAATATACAATATTTTTCAAAGTTTAGTGAGTAATGTACAACATTTTTCAAAATTCAATGGTTAAAACTCGACATTTTAAATTTCAGTGAGCAATCGAAGATATAAACCTAAGTTCAGTGATCAAAACTCGACATTTTTCAAAGTTCAATGGCCAAAACTCGATATTTTAAACTTCAGTAGCCAATCGAAGATATGGACCTAAGTTCAGTGACCAAAACTCGACATTATAAAATTTAGTGGTCAATCAAAGATATGGACCTAAATTTAGTGACCATTAGAACAATTAACTTATAAATGCCCGTTTGGGGTTGCTTTTGAGATTATAATTCAATTGTATATAATTTATTTGTATAGAAATTATCATTTGATTGACTTAATTTTTAACCTGGAAAATGTTGTAATTTTTTTTTTATCTTTTATTGGTGGATTGAAATTGAGTTTTTGTTTGGGAAGTGTAAATTGCTTGAAAAATGTTTTACTTACTCCTAAAAGAAAATGTTATTCTTGTTTTTGAGAAAAATATGGTCGTGTGACCAACATTTGAAAAAAAAATAGGAACTTTGGTAGAAAAATAACATTTTTCATGAAAAATAAAACCAATCAAACACGTCTTAAAATAAACTTGTACTCAATGTGTAGATTTTTTGAGCATAGATTTTGTTAAAATTGATATTTTTAGAAAATGTGTGGTTAAAAAATATGCTAAAAGTTATAAATTCACGTGGAAAATTATTTTATATTAAAAATAAATATAATTGACAATGAAAAAAATTAAAGAATTTGGACAAAATCGGGACTAAGGCTATGTTTGATAGCCAAATGTTTTCCATGGAATTCGGAAAATCAAGTACATTTTTCAACTTTTGTAGTGTTTGATAGGATTTATTTTCCATGGAAAATCTTTTCCAACTTTGGGTGCCATCTAGACATTTCCCATGTAATTGAGGAAAATGAATTCTCACCAATAAACTGTATCGATTTTTTATTTTTTATTTTTGCAATAGAAACAAATTCTAAGAATTATTATAAAAAAAATATTTCTGTTTAATTAACAATTTTCATGTAAAACAAAGTTAAACGAACACCAAAAAATATATAATTTTTTTTTGGGCAATAGAAACAAACTCTATCCCCAATATCAGTAAATTTTATCCCTTTAACTGACAATTTTCATGTAAAATAAAGTCAAATGAACACCAAAAAATACTTTTATTTCAATATTTTTTAGGTGAAAAATTATATCAATCAAACACAATAAATTGACAAGTCTCAGGAAAACAATTTCTAAGAAATTCAATTTCCTGAAATTCATTTTCTTTCCACCCAAATTTCATATTTGCAATCAAACGGATCCTAAATTATTTACTAGTTAGGTTATCCCATCAACTCTTTTGTTACTCAAACTCTCATTGTATTAATTGAATATTAATGATGCGTGTAGAAAATGTGTAATTCACGGCCTTCATCACGCTGTTTATGATGAAAGGGACATGAAACAAGCCTGGTGTTAAAATTAAAAGTTTCAAAACAATTCAATAATTAATTTTTCAAAATCAGTGCTGTTTATGTCAATTTCCCTCAGTCTTTATCTCAAGATCAGTTAAACCCGGATCTGTAAAGCCCAATGACGTTTGCCAGGTTTAGGATTTGGATAGTTGAAATAATTATACCCATCCATATGTTTTAAAATCCAACTTAAAAAATCATATTCAAAATTTGTTTATTCTGAAATCAAATATTTTTTATTAATTAATAATTCACCTACCACACAATTTCAACCCCAAATCCTAATTCTCTCTCCCCAACTCTCGTCTTCTCTTTCAATGTGCTGTTCTCCCATCACTCATCTTCTCCTTCACTGAGCAGCACTGAACCACCATCGACGAAGGCGATCCATATGCAAACCATCGGAGGCGAGTGCCGCATATGACATCGCATCTCGTCTTCTCCTTCACTGAGCCGCCACCGATGAAGGCAATCCACACAGACCACCAGAGGCGAGCGCCACGCATGATGGCGCCGACATGAATGCACAATCCAGCAGCATTTTGGTTCTGGTGATGGCAATTTTATGAATCTAATTTCTTGACGGTGTTTGGATGGTTGTGGCAGCGATTTGTTGGATTTGGTGGTGGCAGTTGTTTTGTTGGTGGCGAGAGTGGTGGATTCTTGGTGGCGGGCTTGTTGGATTTTGATAGTGGTGATGGGGTGACGATGGTTTTGTTGGTGGTGAGGTGATGGTCATTTAAGCCCTAATTTTTGTGATGGTGGTGGTCACTGTGGCAATGAATTAGGATATGGTTACTTATCATTGGGGTTGCAATCGGCTTTTCTTGCACTCATAGTAGTACTGTTCATACTATTTTGCTAGTTGGTTATCGCTTTTGAGCTGTGATAGTGGTGGTTCTGGCGGCAATGGTGGTGGTGGTGGTGTTGCTGCCTACGGGTAAGGTGATAGTCGCAAGTGTTGATGGTAGTTACAAATCATTTGGTTGATTGTGATCATTAGATTAGTTAACCCGTGACCAATGAAAAAGATAAATTGTGAATAAAAAAATATTATGAGACTTAAAAAATTGTTAATTTATAACGATAATTTAATAATTTAAGACTATACAATAAACCGTGATTTATAATATTTATGATTTGTGATCGATAAATGAATCGTGACCTATAAATTTATGAATTGTGATCGATGAACAAATTGTGACTTATAAAATTTTTGAATTGTGACCGTAAAATAATATGTGACATAAAATTTTTTATTTGTGACCAAAAAATAATGACTGACTAACTAAATCGTTAATTCACCAAATTGTATAGATCGTGACCTAAATATATTTAATTAATAAAATAATTAATTAATTAATTTAAAAATAAATTTTAATAAATATCTGGTTTTTGAAATTTGAAATATTTGTTCTTAGTTTTGAAATGGATGATACTTAACCTTTTAGTTATGAATTTTTCTCTTTGGGATATTTTTTTTAGTTACACCCCTATTCAGGTATTCAATCTAGATTTTTAGAAACTTTTAGCTATTTAAAAAGTCTATATGAGAACTCCCCTACTCTTCAAATCTCAATTATGAATCCATAATTTATCAATCTTAGTTTCTCTATGTAATTGTTGATGTGTAATATGTTAGTGACTAAAAATTAATTATAGATTTTTTTGGGTCTTTTTTGATAGGAATGATGACCAAATTTTTTTATAGGGCACAACAACCAATAATAAACTTTTTATTTTTATTTTTTGTTTATGATGAACTTTAATAGTGTGCATTATGTTAAGAATTATTATATTAGATAGTTAGTTTTAAATTTTTTTCTATAAATCCTATATTTTTAACCGAAATTTACTTGCATTCGTTTATCCACTTCAGTACAAATTTTTCTTTATTTGCTCAACTTGAATTTTGTATGTTTTGTCTTTATGATATTCATTCGTTAATGAACATATTTTTATTTTTATTGTTAAAATTATACAGTGTGGGAATGTTAGTTTTGAGGACGCAGGAATTCTAATGCCACATTTTGATTTGTAAGGAATTTATGTGTGAGTTGCTAGTCTGAAAGCAGTTTGGTGCTTATTGAAATTTGTAATTTTTTCACTTAAACATTGGATAAGAGAAAAAATCATCAAAATTTAAAATTAAATTCTCCCAAATTTTGAGTGGTCATATTCTCTGAATTTTTAACCCTTACAAGTTTGATTCAATACACATATCCATAAAATGTTTAGTAATTTTTGAGATATTAATTTTATTGATTATAGCCATTCCTATAATTTACATTCACTTAGTATTGTTACATTTAATTCGTAGGGAATTTGTTTTTTTTAAAACTGAATTATGACTGCTTAAGAAGACTCTTGAATGCATAGCCTCCCAACTTTCATTTCTTTTTTTGAATATTGGTTTTGACACAAAATTATAGTTAAAAATTAATTATGTAAATAATTTAACTTCATAATCAAATAGTTAAATTATAAAATTTTGTAGGCATTTCAAATTTTTGTTGTCAATTATAACTATAAAACATTAGTCATATTATCATACTAAAAAATGTATATTATAAATTTTAATGTCATCATGTTAAAATAGTGTTATACGATGCACAACAAATTTTTAAGTATCATTGAAACAATTAAAGTTATATTATAAAATATTAAATTATTAAACACTGAAAGATCTTAAATTCGACTTAATAATTTTGTTTAAATTATAAATTTTTTTTGTCATATTATACCATGTGCAAAGCATATCTAGAAAACTAGCTTTTGATTTTAAGTTCTTGCCAATTATTTTTATAATTTTTTATTATCATTTCCTTTCAACGTTCACAAGATTTAGTTAAAGAGGTACACGTCTCCAATGATACAAAATCTAATCAAATTTAATTGAACCGAAATGAATCAAATACGTTTACTTGAATTTAGGCAAACCAAAGCAAGAGGCTAAATGTGTCACTCTACTTTCGACAAATTAAATGACATATAACTTTTTGTATTTTGTCATTTTGGATATATTTAATGAATATAAATTATGCATCCATTTTGGCGTTTTAATATTAACATATAAACATACTTCACTTTTTAAATTTAATTTGACATATTTATAATTAAACAAATCAAATAAGAACTTTGTCACATTATAGTAAGAAATTTATAATATATTTGACGTAATTCAAAATAAAGCAGAAATGATAATAATTCAATTTTATGAATTTAAGTACGCCAGTTGTTTGTAAAAGTAGTAGAATTTAGTAATTTTTAACATGCTTGTTTATAGTCAATTCAATTCAATATTTGATAATTTAAAAATTTTAGTTCTTCGTCCTCAAGATATGTCAATTTTTTTTTGTCATTTCATTTAATATTTGATTATCCTTTTTATCGTTTTTTGTGAAATCTAAATACAAATCAATTTTACAAAGAGGAGTTCCAAATATATTGTTGTTAAATGGTATCCACATATCCCATTAACTCTAACAAACGATGCATGATATTTATTCAAATTTAAGAAAGAACAATTCCACTAAATTTATGCTTACAATTATCATTAAAAAGGCTAAATGACAAACAATGTCTTATTGGAATATACATTTCTAAAATATGTATTATCTCACGAGCAACTATATCTCATATTTTTTTTGTGGAGTTTTAAGGCAAACAACAAAAGTCTTGATAAAAGGTCAAAACGGAAAATAAAAATAAGAACAGTTGTAGAACTTTGAGAAAAAATATTGTGTACAAAAAAATGTTATTCCAATAAAAATATTACATTTCAATTTGTTCAACATTTCACATTATATACATAATCCTACTAACTTAAAAGAGGGAATCTTGTCTGCACTATTCATTTGTGAAGCATTTGTTTGTTTCCTATTTCACCCCTAAACATCCATTACACTAATTCTCAAACTCAAGTCTAATGGTCTTTTCTTATACCTTATATATTATATTATATACAAAATATTTGGGAATTGAATTGCCTAAAAATTATAAATTATTGTGTTTAATTGATATAATTTTTTATGTAAAAAATATTAAAATAAAAGTATTTTTGGGTGTTCGTTTGATTTTATTTTATACTATGTATCAAAAGCACACGTGATACCCTAAGCAATCAGTACTAACCCTAACTTTCTCAATTCATAGTAGAAAAGAGGCTAAACATAATTCCTCCCAAATCCAATTGACGACTACAACACCGTTTCTTCATTTAGCAACCTTTGAAGAAACTGAAAGAAATTCCTTCAACAATCTCCGATTTAATCACCATTCAGCGCTGTTTCCGTTTCTCTTCTTCTCTGAAGGTAAGTATAATTCTCATGCCTTTAATTTTCTCCTTTATTGTAGATTTCCCCATTTTTTCCCGTTTCTCGTCTTCTCTGAACGTAAGTATAATTTTCATGCCTTCAATTTCTTCTTTACTGTAGATTTCAAAATTTTTTGAGCTATAGTGCAAGCAGCAGGTTACTGTTGTCGCTGATTGCAATATGTTTATTTAAGTATATATTAACTTGTTCCATAAATCGTGAAAGTCCAAGTACTTTGTTCCATCCAATATGGACATTTATAATCTGTAGAAAGTATAAATATGTATCACAAGTTTGTTGGAAAAGTTCATGTAATAGAAATAAAATTTAAATCTACACTCTGCTTTTTTTGGTGTTTATACATTCTTGTTTGATCTTCTAGATTTTAGAAAAGTTTTGTATTCCAAATAATACATGTCAAAAAATTAAAAATTAAAAATATTGTAGTTTATATGGGGTTTACTTTCTGTTGAACCAGATATTTGAGCTAATAATAATGGTGCATTGGATGGAGGGGATGAAATGATGTTAGGAAATGGGAGAGGAAAGAGGGGATTGGAGAAAAGGAGGAGGGTTATTGATGTTGAAAATGGAGAGGTCGGGAAGTAGGTTTTCCAATTTCAAATTTTGAAACCCATGTGCAATTTTTTTTTCTTTTTTTAAACTTCTGGATGAGGTGTTTAATATCTTGTTTCTGATCTCTGCTTCAGCTTGCCTTATCACTTCAATCTGATGTTCGTTCTTTGATACTGTGCGAGGTTTTCATTGAACATTATCAAAGGAAAAATAATAAAAATACTTTTATTATATACACTTAGCTATATAAAGAAGTTCGTATACGCCTGACCATATCCTTCATGAATGCAAACAAATTCTTTACATCCAAATCCTTGCGAGACTAAAACATCATGCTTTTCACTTTCAATTTCTCAGACCTGATTTCGTATTGTTGCTGAGGCAATGAGGCAGATTTTACTATTTTCATTAGTAAAACAAAAATTCTCTCCAACTCTTTGTCCATATTTTTACTTCAATTTGACGTTCATTCGTTAACATTGTGCAAGGTTTGACTGCTATCCATCTCTGGAATTTTCTCCTCTTCGTTTCGCTTCGGTCACTTCTTTCTCTTCTAGAAGTTTACCTTCCTTTGATAGTGTTCAATTAGATTGTACATAGAAATTACTCGTTGTTATTGATGTCCTAAGTATATTGTGTTGTTTTGTATCTGCTTCAACGTAGCAATATACTCTTTCGGTTCTCTTTCACATGAAGGGTTAGAACTCATCTGTTATCTTTTTAGCGATTTGAACTTTTTTGTTTGCTTTGATTTCATTATTTCTATTTTTTACAAGTTATAAAATCCGCGTTCAATATTTTTTCCTTGACTTTTGGCGCAGTTGCCCTTCTAATTTGAATTTGACCGATGTTTGTTGATATTATGCGAGGTCTCACTGATATTCATCTGGGGGGTTTTCTCCTTTTTATTGTTCTATTTATAATTTGAATGAATTAAAGGTTCCTCTTTAAGATGTTCCATTTTTTCCGTTTAGCTTTTGAAGCACACTGAAATAAAATCTAATGGATTGCATATTTTCCCTAGATGGAAAATATCTAGATTTGTTCAAAAAGGAAATTCTAACAGTCTACTCTCCATTTTTTCCATGTCTTCCATAGAAATTCTTACATATTAACATAGTCATCTTTAATTGTACAATTCCATATCTTCTATATTTCATTTCGTGCTGAATTTAATTTAATTAATTTCAATCTCATTATTTGTCTGATTCGTTCTCTGCGATTTGATTTCCTGGTTCCCTAATCCGTCTTTCGTTGGTCCCTCTCATTCTTCTATTGTTGTCGTACCGTGAACTCTACCAGTTTTGTTAAACGGTGAAGCTAGGAAGGCTCATACAGAGAACGAAGAGAAGACAGTTTGTGCACGGTCTTATTCTTTAAGAAATTATGGCCAGGTGAAAAAACAAGTTCCTGAAAGTTGATACTGGATTTTGATTTTGATTGTTGCATTAGAACGAGATTGATGAAGGACATGGGCAATGCAAATGGCAAAGTAGAGGTTATGGTGATTGGTTGTGTTGATTATGATGGGTCTTTTCTAAAACGTGCAGCCAAATACTTGTTTGAAGTGTTGGAAAGAAGGAAAGATGGTTTAACTGAAAGATATATCTTCAGTCTCTCCCTCTTTATTTGCATACATCAAATATATTTGAGTTACTTATTAAGTTCAAGACAATTTTTGGAAATTTATTTCAATTAATTTTCTTTGATGTTCGAATTGTAGCGATCGGGAAAAAAAAAATATTTTGTTTCGTTCCAAAATAAAATTCTCTTATGGGACTCAAATATAATATGGGTCATATTATTATGTCACTACGACACTTCCTAACAGTCCAAATTAAACTTTGGTCACGAAAGTAAAATTTCGTGTACTTGATTTTCTTAATTTTTACAAGGTGTTAAAATTGCTATTAATCGACAAAATTTTATGTTAACTTGGTTACATTATTTTTCTTACGACACTTTATTTTATTACTACCATTTTGGTTTCAAAATTGGACGAATTACTTGCATGTTTCATCATCCATCATTTATACTCCAACTTACCATTTTAATAAACTTCCATTTTATTTGTTTTTAACTATCAAAAGATATATATTTATATAAATAAAAATTTTGTCATTTGATCATTGGGAAGTTACGTGCCATGTTCATCCGTTGAAGATTAACATTTCAAAACCATAACCCCCCCCCCGGCCACCCCACTTTATTATTCATTGTAACCTCCAATTTTAACCAACCCTCTCTTAGCATATTAATCTCCATTTTGTTAACTGCCAACAATTAGCATGTTAACTCCGCACTAACCATTTTTATTTCCCAACAACTGTTGATGCCGACCCACTTTCATATGGATAATGATAGATATGAATTATTCTAAACACTCCTTTAATTTCCAATTGGTAATCTGCTATATATATATAGTATTGAGTAAGATTAAAGTTATTAAAAGTTATAAAGTTATAAAACAACAAAACAAACACATGCCCAACAGCAAAACAAAAACAACCCCCCCCCCCCCCCCCCTTTTGGTATCAGAGCATAAAGGAAGTAGAAACTGAAACATAAAAAGTTTATGATTTCAGAAATTTATAACAACGGATTAAGATATATGGTAAAATATAATTCTAATATAGCCTTCTATATAAAAGAAGATAATATAGTTGGAACATATAGTAAAGACATAAAATAAGTATTAAAATGTTTTAGAGTAATTAAAAATTTACCTTTAGAAATAAAAGAAAAAATAATTAAAAAGATATTATTTGAAGAATTTAAGCATATATATATATATAATAGAAGAAGTCTGAAGTGAAATAAATTTCATATTAATCTGGAAGTAAAAAAGTTAGATTATTTAGACTTAGAAATAAGAAATAACAGTAGAAAAGTAACAACTGTAGAAAGCAATATTTTAAAGTGTAATTTAGAAACTAAACATAGATTACATAGTTTATTTTAAGAAGAACCAAGTCAAAATAGTATTATAGACTTAATTATAAATTTGTCCAGAAATTTAGAACTTGAAAATAAAAAGAAGTTTAATTATTTAGAAATAATTAAAGACAATATAATAGATAAAAATATTGAAATAAAAAAATATTAAAGAATCTTTAGATTATAGTAAGAATCAAAATTCTAGTATCCTAGAAAAATTAGTAAAATTAGAAAAAAATCCTATAAAACTAGATTTTTAAGAAATAATAAAGAATTTAGATTTTAATAAACCTAAAGAAATAGAAATAGACATTAAAAGAATAATAATTAAAATAGAAGAATTAGTTAAGGATCTTAAAAATTGTATTCTTAGTTACAAATAAAAATTATTTAGAAGCACTTGAATATTGTAAAACCTTTTATACAGAAGTAGAAGGACTTACTAGACATATTTTTCTAAAAAACTCAGACACGATTATTATTAAACAAAATAATATTATAATTGCATTCTTATTGTCTCTTCATAAAAAGATAGACATTTTAGATAAAACAAAAATTACAGGTAACATACCCTCTTCATCAAACGTAGAAAAAGATTTGAGATTTTTAACAGATAAGTTAGAAAATTTAAGCTTTAAAAAAACATGTAAAGAAAAAGTAATTAGAAAATTATCTAAAGAATATAAGTTTTCAAGATGAATCCATTTTTAGGAAGATCAAGAACTATAAATGAAGAAGCCTCTTCATCAAGAGAAAGACCTAGATTAAGTTTATCAAGTATAAACAGAAGTTTAATAGACAAAATGTTAAATAAACAATAACAGTATGATCAAAATATTGAAGAAATATTAGATCCACAATAGGATTATTCTAGATTTGGTTTAAAACTTCTAAATCCAAATGTATTATATAATAGAGGAATATTAGAATCAAGTCATCAATTTTTTAGACACCATAGAGAAGTTTCTATACAATGTATAGGAAAACAAGTAAAAAAGTTAAATTTAATATCAGAAGAATCTAAGAAAGGATTAAGAAAGAAAAATTTTAAATTTATGCATTTAGCACTTATAGTTATAGGTATTAAAGGATTAATGAGAAAAAAATTAGGATGTAAGGTTTTAATTACTATATATGATGAAAGAATTAATAAAATAGATAAAAGCCAAATAGCTAGTATGGAAGTAGACATGAATAGTAATAATGGAATAATTTACTGTAATCCAGATTTTTTAATAACTATAAAAGATTTTTCAGAAAAAATTAAGATAGGAGTTCAAACAAAAGGATATGAAGACGTAAAATGTGGAGATAATTTATTAATACATATAGGATTCTTAGGGAGATGTTCTAATAATTCACAAATTAAATATAAAATTTACATAGATAAAGTAGTAAATTTAATGAGTAGCAAAGGAATTAATATGGTAAGACCCAAAGAATATTCATCAAAACAATTAGCAGGATTAGAATGAGATATTGATAGATTTTTAGAAAACAGCCAAGAAAAAATTATGGCACCACAAGAATCATTAACCTATAAAGATATAAATGGAAGAACTAGTTTAAGATTCTTAGATTATAATCAAATACAAAATAATAATTTTGAAGAAGAATCAAATCAATCTAATTCAGAAGAACAAGAACAAGTTAATGAATATGTTCATATAGAATTATTAGAAGAAAATTTAGATAAAATAATTTTCCCTAAAGAATTAGGAATGATATTAGATAAAAAAAAAAAGAATTATTATTATTAGAAGATCAAATGTATATTAATAAACAAATAAAAGAACTAGAATATTTATATTATGACCCAAATTTTAAATATAAGGATAGGAATAAGTAAAGAAGAAATAGAAGAAACAAGATCAGAAAGATCTGATTATAAAGAACTTGTGGATGATGAAAATGTTTATAAATCTTTTGATGAGACACCTTTTGATAGAACCATAAAACATGAGACATTAACTTATGGATATGGTTATCCTCAAAGAGGAGCTTATAATATTTATAATGACCCACCAGAAAATACTAAATATGTTTCAAGAGGAAGTGAAAGACCATTAGAAAATAAAATAGAATTTCAAGCAGCCAATAAAGCACAAATATTAAATATTACAGTACATGGTCCACAGATATGGACAAATGTAATAGATGTATGGAAAAAATACTATAATAGTACATTTTATTAGAAATTTTCAAGAAATGAAACCTTTAGATATGTATAGGTATTTAGAAACATTTTTAGGAGAAAGTACTAAAGAAATGTGGGAAGCATTTAAAACGGAAAGAAAAGAAGAATTTGAACAATTAGTAAGCTTAGGAAGTAATCCTTATAATTTTGTTAATAAAATTCAGATATTAATTACTGGAGCAGATCCAAATTCAGGACAGATGAGTATACAAAGGAAAGCAATTAGAGACTTAGAACAACTTAATTTATATAAATTGACTAAAGGTAGACACGTTAAGAGATTTTTAAATGAATATTATTACTTAGTGTCAATTTCAGGAAATACATTTAATCAAAAAATAGAAAATAAGTTATTTCATAAATTACCAGGACCATTAGGATTAAAAATAACAGACTCATGGAATAATTTAAATTCAGTAAAAGAACATCCAAAAAAATAATGGAGAATAGGACATAGAATTCAACATGTAATAAGATGCTTAGAAGGAAAATGTGTAGAACTACAAATACAAAAACAACTTAAAAAGACAGATTATAAATTTTGTAAAGATATTTTTACACCACAAACATATGTAGCCTCTAGTTCAAAGAATTATAAGAAAAGATATAAAAAAGACAAAAGACCAGTTAGGAAAAAATATTTTATTAGAGAATCTAATAAAAGAAAACCTTACTTAGATGAAAAGAAGACATGTTAGAAAATTTAAACCAGATAGAACTTATAAAAATAAACTTAATTGTTATGTTTGTAATAGTAATGAGCATTTAGCTAAAACTTGTCCAAAAAGAATAAATAATAATAATAAAAAAAAGTACATTAATAGAATGCACTAATGAAGATTTAATACAGGTAGATGAGTATGTATCAGATAAAGAATCTATATATAGTATAATATCTGTTGAAGATAGAAATTTAGAAATAGGACAAGAAGAATCTGATTATGAGATTTTAGATGAATTTTTAGATTTAAAAATTAATAATGAATCAAAATCAGAAAAAGATATAGAACTAGTAGAATTAGAGGATTGCATACAAAATTGGCAGAAAAATATAGGAACAGATAATATAGCATGTTACTTATATTTTTGGTATCCAGTTAGAAAATTAAGAGTAAAATGTTTAGAATGTTATAAAGAAGCATGTATTAAATGTTTAGAAAATAATAATTTAATAATTAAAGAAGAAGAAGTAAAAACAGAATTTACTCAAGAACAAATAGAAATTTTAGAAATAAGAATTCTTAGGAAAAGAATTGAAAATTTAGAAGAAATGCAAAAGTTATTTATAAGAAGAATAGAAATCTTAGAAAATAATAAAGGAAGAAGTATTATAAAAGAAAATCAAGACTCAATACAAACAGAATATATAGAAGTAGTTTGTAATTCGAAAAAGTTAAAAGATATTAAGATAAAATGTCAAATAAGAATAGACAATTACATTATAAAATGTTTAGGACTTATAGATTCAGGATGTAGTAATTGAGTAACTAATAAAAAATTAATACCATATAAATATATTATAAAATCAAAAGAACCAGTTAATGCACAACAAATGGATGGAGAATCATATACTTATACA